CTCTCTCTCTCTCTCTCTCTCTCTCTCTCTCTCTCTCTCTCTCTCTCTCTCTCTCTCTCTCTCTCTCTCTCTCTCTCTTTCTCTTTTTAATTTTTTTTCATTTCTTTTACTGTCTTTCTCTCTTAAAAATATAAAAAAGTTTTTAAAAATATATTTATGCTCTTATTTGTTCAATAGAATGCAATATAAAAAAAATTGTATCACGTAGTTAAAATGTTCATTAATTTTTTTAAAGTGTAGATTTAATAGATCATAAGTGCATTTACCACAAATATGACTTATCATATATCAACATTAAAACAGCGAGTTTGTGTTTCAACAGATTTCAAACAGAGATGCGCAACTTAACAGCTTAGCTAATTAATTTATGCGTGTGTTATTGGCCGTAAGTGCTTCGTTGCCAAACAGATGCAGGAGTTAAACGCATATAGATATGAACTTCTGGCAGAGTTCAACTTACTGAGCAGGAAGATATTTCCTGATTCTCATTACGTTTACCATATGTTACTCTAATTACAAATGATAAGCAAATGTAATGCAATGTTTCATATTTCCCGATTTTAAACAATTTGTTTAATGACAGCTTAAAATTGAATATTATTATTGGATATAGATACTTGCATAAAATTTTAAACGTCATATATTTTCAAAGTCAAATAATTAAAATTATCGAATATCATCCACTTTAGTATTATCTGCTTTGAATATTATCTTTCTTTCGCGATGATTGAATACAATCATCAATACTATTAAACTATATATCATACAAATTAATTATATTATTAATTAATTATATTATCAGCAATAGTTGAATCTACAAAGAGATCTATAAGATCCTACGCTTTTAAAAGTTTTTATCCATATTCCAACTTTGCACAGCACAATCACAACACTAACTGGAATTTCGTCAAAGTTCAACTAAGTAATTATTCCAATTACTCAAGTTTCGTGCCATTTTCCTTTGCGACAATTTGGATTTCTACGGTAGTTTCTGAGGGAGCATCTTAACTTAAATCGCAGAAAATTGGCCATTCTAAAATGTTCGCAGATTTTATAAGCTATAGATTTTATAACACGCACTTTAATACTTGCGCAAGTTTAACCATCATCTTAGCGAATATGCAATATTAGCAAAGTTTGAAGCCACTTTACACAGATACATTGGAAATAGATAATCAATACTATTTGAAGCAATGACACAGCTTGTAAATTTATTCTTTTACGATTAAACAAAAAAAATTAATTATATTGCAAGAATTAATTAAATAGCATAAAATAAGGTTATTTACAAAAAATCAAGTTTAAATTATATTAAAATTTCTTTATAATAAATGTTATTCCACAATTTATATTTACTTTTTATTTTATAAATTCTGCGACTTATTTTTTATAATAAATTGTTAATTTAATTAATAAATTATTAATTATTATTTATGCTGTAGCTTTAAATTTAATAATATTATTAATACAGGATTACTGGAAATCTTTTTTGTAATATTTCTATCTATTGTTATATGCAGTAATATAAAGTGACTTATCTTATTTATAAATATATCTTGATTATTTGTGTGTATATTGTGCCAATTATTATGTGCAAACTTAATAATTAGTTATTTAGGATATAATTATCAATTATTGCAACAGTAGACTCTTCATAATTAGTTAATTATAGTCCAACAATCATGTCAACAAAGGCAAATTAATATTTTAGAGATTCCATTGCAGAATATTTTTCAACTTTTAGCAATATTTTGATAAAAATTTACTTACCACATCGATGAGCTGTGAGAGCTTAAGCTTGATGCATACGCGCAGCACATCCGAGGTGTTCACCACGGGCCGCACGAGTTTGTTGTAGTTGGACAGCAGATCGTCGTAGAGGCGTTTCGCGTCCGGATTTCCGGCAACGGCTCCGTGGACGACCAGCGCCGAGAGGAACCATACGCGCAGCGTTTCCCCAATTATGGGGGGCATCATGATCCCCCGATTCCTCCACTATGAACGACACGTATCTAAGTGAGAAGATGCAGATCAGCCGCTGTTTGTTTTTCTCGATATTCGTTCGAAGGAGCACCGCTTGGGAACTTTTTTTTCACCGCGAGTTTTATTATTTACTGTCTGAATTACATTAGGATAAATTTAATTAAGCGCAATTCAATCATCGAGGCACACGCTTCGGCCATTAATTTTTACTCTTGCAAGTTATTTAACTTTTTTAATAAAATTCTTAAATTCGCAGCTGGCTAATTGATTTTACGATTAAATTTCTACGATTAATTCCGAATGAGTCCTCATTATTTAAGAAAATCTTTATTTAAAATTTAATCAAGGAATTCTGAAAAAAATGTTTTTGATTAAATTTTTTTCTAAAAAAAAAGGAATCCACAAAATTGTCCCCCCCTCCTCCCTCCAAACTGTGTAGTCGTGAGAGAATATGTAAATTTTGTTATGCCATACACTAATACACAAGCGAAACTCCGAGTTGAGCTGCTATATTATATGTTGCTAGACTATACTTCGTTACGGTACGTGCAATTCCCGGCATATAGTACACCATGAACGCAGAAGGATACAACTTGGGCGGATTTATGGATACAAGTAACGAGTTTAATCCCTCTCTTCTTCCCGCCTTCCCCCTCCCCTCTCTCTCTCTTTCTTTCTCTTCAACTCCGAGCGCCACGTAAAAAAATTTTGCCGCTTTGAATATGAAAATAATGTCGCTCGGTGCAAAATACACGTTTTCGCCTGAAATTTAGTTTGCAAAAATATCATTCTCTTCTCTTATTCTACATTCTTTTACCATAGCTACGGAATATTTGAGTGTACGAAAGATTTATCTGTTTTGTAGCGAATATTACAAGGAAGCTCGTTGGCGATGCAAATGCAAATGCAATCGCAACTTTAAACGGCGATAGCAGTGAACTGGGAGCACTGACAGGAAACGATCCTCTGATCGCGCATCGCGATGCGTAACGATGTTAAAGTGTTCGTGTGGAATCGGGCCGATTAGCGGTAAGCCGACACTTGGCATAGTGCGGGCGTTGATTTTCGTTGCGCATTACGGCGCTAATTCGCGACCGCAAATCGCGCGCCGTCATAGATCGGCGATTGATCACACGCCTCGCAAATCGCGGGGTGCTTCGCGCTGGCATTTCATCCGGAATTTAGCGGAGTCCAAACGAATAGGAGCCTACCATCGTCATTACGCAACGATTTCACCGCGAATGCCATGATTAAGCGAGTTAGCTAGGTAATTTTGAACTCGAATAAAATGGCCTTTCCTGTCACTCTTATTTTATCTATTATTTTATCTATTACATAAATGACAATATTACGTAACGGATGTGCGACGATTAAAACAAATTTGACGGCGCACGCTTGTAACACAACTTTTAATATTTTATCATTAAAAAATTTATATGATTAAAAATTTAAATTTCTATATAAATCTTAATTATGTAATTTAATTTGCAATTTCTCAAATTTGAACGTATATAACAAAAAGTAGATTTACAAAAAGTAGATTAGCAATGCGTAAGCTTGTTTAATTTATGAAAAATTTTATTTTATAATGAAATAATATCCGGGCAGAATTATTCTGCCAATATTATATCCTGAGAATATTCTATGATTAAAAATTTATTATGACAAATAACTAGATAAGAACATTTGAACTACTCTCCATATTTCATGTATACTCTTGAGACTTAATATATTACTTTAATATATCCTGAGATAAGAAAGCATGATTTTATATGCGCATCTATCTAACAGTATTATGCAACAAAGTTACTAAGCGAGATAATAGAACCGCCAGTGAAACAATTGTAAAAGCTTCTGTACTTTCTGTGAAATTTTTTTCTATTTACAGAGGAGACAACTGGCGCCGAGTCACCCCTATGTAACTAGCGTAGCAGATACCTGACCTAAATATAGTTTGCTTAAGCTATAGAAATCTTTAGATAGATTTTTGCGATTTTTTTTTTAATAAAAATCAATAAATAATTTTAATTAAATTCAAAAAGTTATATAAATTAAATCTCGTTTAGAAATTTTGATATAACAGACAATTTCGTTTCTATGTGAACTAACTTGCATATAGGAACTTGTTTTGCCAAATCATATTTGAGCCAAGTATCGGGTGATTTATTATTGTTGCAAATTGAACGTTTTGTGAAGCAAGCGTGATCGGATTATCAAATCGTCTGTGATTCGTGTCGCTGTTGTTTGAATCGAACAAGCAGCTCCTCCCTTATCAGGTGAGCGACTTCAAGATCGTAACTCATGTCTACGTCGACGCAGTCGTCGCGGCCGATACGCGGGTATTAACGGAGGAAATTTACGCGAGTACATACGCCCGACGACGAGGAAGGATCGATCAACGCCCTGGTCCCGCCTCGTCTGCCATCGCGCGAATGTCTAATTGCTGTTGCATCGCTAACTGGGTCAACGGTATATTATTTCAGATTAGCGAGCCGAGGAGAGCCGACCTTACGACGTTGTCATCAGCCTGGAATCTATCTAGACAAAAGAGTAATAACACTGAAGACTCTTAATCGATATTAAAATCAATCCTGCCAACAGCTTGTAAAGTCCCTGGCTTAATCTAGCGATACTTCTTTTTTCTAATTCTTAAATTTTCTATTTTTGAGATATACAAATGGGTCGGATGGGTTGAATAAATTGTAATAAGCAAAGGATTGAAACAAATAATATTTTATATAAAATGAAAGAGCTGAATGAGGCATTTGCCTTCATTATGTGTTGCTGTTATTTAAAAAATTATTTTATTGATTTTTCATTTTATAATTACGCAAAAAAATCTATCGGTTGATCTTAAAACCCGTATAATTCGCAAAACTGATGAACAATTCAATGTCGTACAATCCAAATAGATTTTAAACACTCCAGAGTTTAGCGTAGGGTTTGTTCAATCATGCACGCCTCCCTCTCTCTCTCTC